TTTCCTCATTTCACATTCTTTTGTGAGATTGTCGATAGAGTAAAGTTGTATTTGCTATGAAAATCGACTACATTACTTAGTTTGGGGCTCTAAGTGGAGTTTTGAGACTACCAGTAAAATGTATTCATCCTATTTCGGTGTGCTCTCGAGAGTCTATGTATAAACCAAAAATGGGTTAGTTATCCTCTATATTGGTTATGCTACGTTTGCTCGAGTTAGTATATAAGTCGTATTAAAGACAAACAGTTACAGTACAACGATAATCTGCCGTCGTTTTCTGATGAGATCGACCTTCGAATCTCTTCTTCCTGCACTTCCATACAAAATGAACGTCTCCCCAGCGTCCTTTAAATCTATTAAACTACTAGCATAGTAAACTATTATAAATTTATATTAGATTTTTTCTTGTATACAGTATTTAGGAGAATAATAGTATAGTATATAGCATTTTTACACATTAGCCAGATGCTTAAGAGAAAAACATTTTATTCCCACATTCCAATATTGTCTCTCATTTTTCCCCAATCATTCGTCCACATATTGCTTGCCCTGACTGGGCCTGTTCATCTCTGCCTTAACTTTACATGAACCTAGGACATGAAAGGCGCCCAAATTCTAACCATGCTTGACCAAGGTTTGCGTCTCTGTCGGCCACTACGTTGCCCAGAGGCTATCTACTCTATCATGCAGGACTGCTGGAATTTTGAAGGTGTCCGGCGGCCTACTTTCGCTGAGCTCGTGCTACTCTTTTCTCGTCTCGTCGCACAGTCTTCGGTAAAGCCGACCTCTTCAGGTGGTATGACAGCAACGGCTCTCGGTATTAGAACCCTCTCAACCTTCTCTTCCACTGCTTCAAATTGCATCGAGGCTAGCCCTCCTGGTGCAATCGAGTCTCTAGGCAGTCAGACCGGACTATCGTTATTAGACCACGTGACCTCATCACCAAGTGGTGCTTCCACTTCATCCTCGGGCATCTCTTCAGCCGGCGGAGAACCTAGTCAGTCTTCGATGACGGCCAACTAGAGAAAACAATTGAAAATACTTGACTCATCTACCTTAATGGTACTATGAAAACTGATCTTTCAACTCAACTCAAATCCTCTAGGGCATCATGTCCATGCCTCTACGGCTAGAAATTTTGTTATCTTATCCTAAAAATATTTTTCCTCATACGCACTACTTTGTAGCTTTATTACTCCCAATTCATATCTGGTGTATATTTATCGAAATCTTCATGTAAAAACTTTTTCCTATACCCACTGTAATAACCATCGTCACTTTTACTCCCTCTTTTTCTACAGTCTCTTCTGCCTATGCGTCTGTTTCTGGTCTGATTCGATCTCTCACAGTCTTCTTAAACTTCTTTATTTTGCTCAATTTGTCTTCGCTATCTTGCGCCTTATTACTAGCTTTCGTCTAATCTACACGTATCCAACTAGAAGTTGAGACTCCAATTATCCTGCTTCAAAGTTTGAGTCTGATATAACTGCCGAAAAAATTCTATAAATTCTTTGTCGGTTTTTGTGAGCTTTCATGTTTACTTGGATGTGCTCTGTGATTAGAGAAATATTTTTTTTCCTTGAATCCTGGCAGAATTCCACTTTTATACAGCCGATCAGCAGATCTGCTGCTAGCCCCTTTTGCTCCTTTAGTCTTAAGGATATAATAGTTTTATATTATTCTGCCACGGTACAAGAGGTGAAATGATCACTGACCTCTTGAAGATAGCAATCACCGCCTAATTAAAGTACGCACACAGCTACACTTTACTATAAGCAGTGTACTCACATTGGCAAGTTAAGCTAAAACTGTTGCTCAAATCACAAATATCACGCATAATTTAACAGTATTTAGATTCTTTTTTTTCCTGCCAGCGAAAGGAATACTTCTGACCTTGGTATAATTGGTAACTATTGTGCGTCTGCCGAGTTTTTCTTCTTTTTTCAAACAGAATTATTGCAAGTTTGGATGCCCACTTTGGTCAATGTATGCTTTTATTTTGGCTTTTTTGGTATGTCGACCCGAGTAGCCCTTTTCACATGATACTTCCAATATGGAGAATGGCTCCGGCCTACAGGGTCAAACCCAGGAATAATTTGCGAGCTGCCATGATCACTTTTGACGAGTTTGTCAGCAGGTGCCTCTTCCTCGTCTGTGTTAACAAGACCAATTTATACATAATTCTAATTTGTATGAGGTTTACAGGACGGCCAAGTGAGGACTTT